CCCGCGGGTGGGGGGGGGCGGGCGCGGGCCTGCCGTGGGCCCCTGTCGTGACAGGGGAGGTAGCCTGGAGCGCGGCTGGCTCCACCTCTGTCGCGACAGGGACTCCTCCTAGTCAGTGAGTGTGGGGCTGGCTCACCTCTATCGCGACAGGGGCCCTGTCTAGCCAAAGGATGAATGTGGGGCTGCCTCACAACTGTTGCGACAGGGGCTCTGTGTAGCCAAAGGGTGAGTTGGGGCTGCCCAATTCTGTCACGACAAGAGCCCGGTCTAGCCAAAGGGTGAATGTGCAGCAGCCTCTGTCGCAACAGGAGCCCTCTCTAGCTGAAGGGTGAATGTGGGGCAGGCTCTGTGGCAACAGGAGCCCTATCTACCCAAAGGGTGAGCGTGAGGCTGCCCAACTGCCCCAGCGACACCGCTGCCGCCTGCCCCGTGGGCACGGCAGCGACAGGCGCTCGGCCAGGCTTGCGCCAAGATAAGGAGGCATAAACTGTGGCGTGGGCTCGTGGGCTCCCCGCGGCACCGGATCAGCAACCGGCACAGACCCCAAACCGGGATAGGACAGAGAAAACCAATGGAGCCTCTCAATTCCTAGGAACTTCAGTACAGGCTGTGGAGAGATCAGCACGAGTGACACTATTGACGCCAGCACAGCTTGCATGTGAATACTGTCCCTAAAAGCACTCTGCAAGCCAGTGTTCTGCATTTTTTATGTATGTATGTGCATATATAAAAGCTGATCTTCACATATGTCCCGGCTTACATAAATGCAAGTCCCACATACAGTCCCTGCTCCATCAGTATTACAAGCCACCCACAGTACAGTGCTTGCTGCATGGAACTATATTCTGATCTGGAAGAAACATATCTTTTTCTTACCTCTAAACTGATAAAAGGAATAGGGACAAGGGACAACCAACACAAAATTAAGAAGTGCTAGGGGAGGTGTTGCCCTCTCTCCTTTCTAGCAATAGTGTGACTACCCCAAAAGAAACTTGTGTTAACGGAGAAGAAAAAACTGACAGCATGTCCACACTTCACAGGGCAGTGCTGAATAAAAAATGCTAAGCTAGCTCTGATGACCTAGTTCAGATATGCAAATTACTTATTCCTGTTCTGCATATGTTAATTTTATCTTACCTATCAGCAGGATTAATCAGCATGACCAAATGCTGCTTGAATACAGTTACGTTCCATTTGGTACCATTACACAGCATTGTAGATCGTAAGACACAACCTATGATACAGAGGTAGAGTGTCAACATGACAGTTTATGTATCGCTAACTATGTATTTTTTGTCTTGATTTCATGAAGACAAAGTCTTTCTTGAAAGATTTCTTGAAATTGTGTGACTCATGACCCAAAAACAAAAAACATATGAATTCCCAAGGTGCACGTGTATCTGACATTGAGGACTTACAAAACAGCATCTGCCTCAGCAAGAATGCACTCAAAACTGGCACACAGACCGATGCCTGTCACAAATGTAGCTACCCCATACCTGTTTTCAGTATCATCCAGCATATAAGTATACACATATGCACCTCTATACAGCTCCCAACACTGCTTCACCTAATAAACTCAATGCGAATCTTGTTATGTGCATATGCAATGTTAAAAATACATAATTCCTCACAATGAATGTTAATGTATGTACAATAGCCCTAGCTACTTGAATTAACACGTCTCACCAACGAACAGCATAGTGCTTCTATATCTATGTTTACCTATTTGCTTTACAGGTTGTTGTCTTCTGGCACATGAAGATGCAGCCTGCATTATATGCAACCTTTTTGTAAGCATATATTTACCACACCACTGTTTTTACACACAAGCATATTTTACTAGCCTTCATATACAAGAAGTCCTATAAAATGCTTGGCAAGCCAGCACTTCATTTTCTTATTGTTTTTAAGTATAATTTTTAGATAGTACAAATGATGTTACATGTCTAGTTAGATATAAGAAGTTAGAATGCTTTATATACTTTATATTAGTTTCCTTTTTGTGGCTGTTTCTTTCAAAGGCTTCTGGAAACTTATTTTAAGCATGCCTGAACTATGGCATGTGCAATTAGAACTTGGCAGAGTGTATGATAAAGTAGATGTGGTGTCCTTTAAGTCTAACTTGTTAACAGGCGGAAACACTACTAGAATTCAAAGGGTAAATGGTTTGCATTCTAGTGAATGCCAGAGAACTCCTAGCAGTCTCCAGGAGTCGATGAAATTCACTAGTTTGGCTACAGTTTAATCCCATTTTCCTTCTTTTTCCTCTTAGACATAGAGAACAGAGAACTTACCTCCCATTGTACTGTATCTTTTAAACATTTTTAATGAAACTGAAAATAACTTTTTTTCCTCTGCCTTCTGTATCACTACAGGTCAGTGAGTTTTGGGAGAAGAATGACTAAATTGAGGACTGTTCTGCAGATCTTTTTCTTCCAGCATGTCACTGCAGAAAGGAGCCCTGCATTTCCCTCATTTTCCTTTCCCTCACTTCCCAACCTTTCCATAAATGTGCAAGATTGATGTTAGCTGACCATCTGGGATTTCTATGCAGGTGATACCCTCTGAATCATTTTTGACAGTTGTGCATTTGAAAAAAACATTTGCAGGTATGATAGCTTGTTCTGGACAGCAGAGTGCAGAATGAATAACAAATACCCGTGCAGATACTGTACCAGAATCAGTACTTGATTATTTTGGCATGATTTGACATCGCATAAATTTAGAATTGTGAACTGGAATAAGTGTTATTTCCTGTTGCTCTCCAGGAATTCATAAAGTTGCCTAAGAAATTTGTCTTTGTCTCTTAAAGAAGATGGTTATCTTGACCTAACTCAGAATGAAGGCATCTCAGCTCTTACTAAGCAGCACAAGCCCATGAAAGCTTCCACGGAGATTAATGCTTCCAGCAGGTGCAGATGACTTTACATGCTCCATCTGTAAGGAGAAAAGAAACCAATTTATTTTGCTGCTACCAAGTGAAGTTGCAGTTTGTTTTTAGAGTGTTACCTTGGAAAGAAACACAACAAAATGGGCCATCTTTGTCCTTGATGAAATTCCATTCACATAATGGAAGTACACCATTCATGCATTTGGCCCACTATCTTTTTTTCACTGTAATATATTAGAATAAGGAGCCAACACATCAGGCAGCAGCATTAAAACTGTTCCTGCAATGCTTACTAATTGAAGTAAATGGGAATTTGGCTTGCCAGAGGACTGCAGGATGTGGTCCTTCAAATTGCAGTAACATTACTTCATCCATATTGCTGCAAACCAGATTCACAGCAGCATTGCAGGTCATAATGTGTCTCTTGCTACACGGAAAAATATATGTATTGTAGCTCAAGTTTCAAAGAAAAAGATTAATAGATTTTACGACAGCTAAAGCAACACAGAAGGTCACTACACAAAATACTATTTTGTTGAGCCAATATACCTGAGTCCTGACATGCAGTATCCTTCCTGTGTCAGGCCTGGATCTCTTTCAGAGGTCATAGACAAAGTTTTACTGTTCTGCTTGACTGTGCCAAATTAAGTGGTGATTTTTGCAGATTAGCTAATTGCCTAATGGGGCCTAGGTTGAGACCAGCAAACTCATTGCTCCTGTGTAGCTCCTCATTGCTCCAGCTGATTTCACGTACAAGGCTTCATGAATGCCAAATGAGGGCAATGCTTCTTCCTCCTACAGTACTATTTTATTCCTTAAATTACAGTTATTAAAATGTTTCAGTTACTTGAAATCTACTAAAATGTATTAAAATACCACAAAAGTGCTATATCAAAGTGGAAAGGGTTTAAAACTGCAGTTCTGTGATAGGATAATGCAGTTTAAATATAGTAACTGTTTTTTTCCAGTCAGCT